GGCGGCCCGGGCGACGTGTGGGCGCGCTTTGCCGTGGGCACGGCCGGCCTGGGCGCCGACGAGCTGCACGCCCTGGAGCGCGAGCAGGTGCGGCACGGCGACCTCCTGCTGCTGCCTGCGCTGCGGGACTCCTACGAGAACCTGACGGCCAAGGTGCTGGGCATGCTGACCTGGCTGGATGAGCACGTGGCCTTTGAGTTCGTGCTCAAGGCGGACGACGACTCATTCGCACGCCTGGACGCACTGGTGGCCGAGCTGCGCGCACGTGATCCACCGCGCCGCCGCCGCCTCTACTGGGGCTTCTTCTCAGGCCGCGGCCGCGTCAAGCCCGGCGGCCGGTGGCGTGAGGGTGCCTGGCAGCTCTGCGACTACTACCTGCCCTACGCGCTGGGCGGCGGCTATGTGCTTTCGGCGGACCTAGTACACTACCTGCGCCTCAGCCGCGAGTACCTGCGCGCATGGCACAGCGAGGACGTTTCGCTGGGCGCCTGGCTGGCCCCAGTGGATGTGCAGCGTGAGCACGACCCACGCTTCGACACCGAGTACAAGTCTCGTGGCTGTAGCAACCAGTACCTGGTGACGCACAAGCAGAGCTTGGAGGACATGCTGGAGAAGCACCAGACGCTGATACATGAGGGCCACCTGTGCAAAGAGGAGGTGCGGCTGCGCCTCTCATACATCTACGACTGGTCTGCACCACCCTCACAGTGCTGCCAGAGGAAGGAGGGCATACCCTGAGCCGCTTCTCGCCGTGAGCGACAACTGAAAACTGGCGCTGGAGAGTAGAGGCCCGACTGGACGAGTGCCCTCCGCAGGTTTCCGTCTGCAGGGAGGGTCACTGGGGGTTTGTGGGCCACGCAGCTGAGGCGGAGGAGGGTTCAGGAAAGCCCCACAAGCCCAGGTCTTACCCTGGCGTAGCCGACAGGTTCTGGTCAGTTTTCCAGGATGAGTCCAGCGCTGGAGGGGGATCTGGTTTATCCAGTGACCAGTGGAGCTTTCATACAAATGCCTGGCATTGCTGAACAACATTTCGGCTCCGTCTCCAACTGCTGCACCCCAGAGAGTTACCCTCAGTGGCCATTCGTTCTCCAGAGCATCTTGTTCCGGGTCTGGGAGACCCTGGGGGACACCAGGGCAACACATCACGTCCACTTAGAATGTTCTTGATTTCAGCTAGTCTGAGCCAGGACCCTGGGAGGTGCTGTGCTTTGGGTGTGAAAAACGTTCGGTGGGCACAGGAGGGGAGCCTGAGGCTGGAGCTGGCAGGTACTTGCAGAACCTGAACCAAAAGAATCGAGACTGTTCTGGAGCGGGACTAAATCCTTTCCTCCATCTCACTCACTGTCCATCTAAGAAACCGCCTTGAACAGAGTACAGGCTGCTGGAAATGCACTTCCTGACCTACCTGTGTCGAAGCCAGAATGGCTTTTGCCAAAATTACTGTTGTTTGGAATTGTCACGTATAAATCTAAGATTTGATTTTGTTTCAGATTAATTAGCTTTAATGGTAGTCTGGTCTGTGAGTCTCCCTGGAGTGAATTTGTTGTAAATATAATTCAACATCTGCCTGTGATTTATTTATAAATACTGTAAATTTGTATAGATGAGAGTTTAAATTGGGAGTGTGCGGTTCTTAGTATTTTTTTAAATTATTTAAGAAAAGACTTTCATATCAGAACTTGGAATTTGTGGATTAATCTGTTTTTAAAACTTGAGTTGTAGGTCTCGTTGCTGCGTGTGTGTTTAAACTTGAAAGAATTCTAAAACTCCGTTTCTCTTTTTAAGTTTACACATAAATCATGTCCACCGTCTCTTTCTAAAAAGACTCCTTTTAAGGCTTCCTCGTGGAGTGTGGACTGTTGGGACCTGCGTCGATCACGCTGGACAAGTGTTTCTCGTTGGATTCTGGGCCCAAGTTCCAAGAATCTGAACTCTGGAAAGTGTCGATGAGGTTTCCCAAGTTCTGTCTTAAGAAAACAGTATTTGCTGGTAGGCGTTTGGGAGACAGCTCATTCACTTAGTCCACCTGACTGACCCTCTTGCACATACCAACATCCTCAGAAGCTGTGGGTTCGAACTATTTGTTTCCTTTTTTTTTTTTTAAATTAAATGTGAAAAATGAACGCTGTGGTCATTGCAAAAGTAAAATAAAGTAGCTCCTGGAACAATTAGACAGTAAGCTCCTCTCAGCCTCCTGTGGTGTGTGATGTCGTACATTTTGTTTTAGGCCCTGGCTTACATTTTCTCTCTCGTAAACCTGGGCTGTGCTCCTGCCCCAGTCTTTGTATTCCCACTTTGGGGCAATTTTTTTTTTTTTCCTTCCAGGCAAAAGATTTAAGAATGTTTTTATTGTGTTTATTCAGCCATATAAATTGGAGAAGGGCTACAAAGTTCTGATTTGCCTTTTCACGGCCCATTGTTTGGTGTTCTCAGGCCATGAGCATACGATCAGGTTTGGGTTATTTTTGTTAAAAGGCAGAAGAATATTTGGAACTCACTTTTCTTGCCAGAGATCTTGGGGTAAAGCCCTGGGCTGGAAAGTTGGGACAAGGTTTTATGATCCGTGACACAGACACTTCTCCCACCTTTACTGAGTAGGGATTGAACAGATCCGATTACAAGGCAGTGTGAGCTCTTTGCTGTCCATCTTAGAGCCCAGGCTGATGTCCCCTGAAATACTTTGTGTGAGCCTTGGAATAACTTGAGGAGCTGGTACATTCACCTCTCCGTTTTTCAGATGAGGAAACGGGTGCTTAGAAAGGCTGATAGGACCATGCAGCCAGCAGTAGTGTTCTGCAAGAGCTGTTTCTTGGGAGGTCTGCCACCATGGAAAATGGACAAACGTCCAAGATGCCTTCATTAAGGACTTTTTAAAATCCATTCACATGTTTACTAATTGTTTAGGAAAGATATTCAACTTAAGTTAAAAAAAAAATCCATTAGACAAGTCCCTGAACTAGTGATGCAGATGTTTCCTGTGGTCCTTGCAAGCTTTAGGACTACGTTGTTGAACCACGGGAAATTGCCAATATGCAGCTGTTTTGACCCACAAAAAGAAATCCCAGATTGTTCAGCGTAAAATATTACATCTTAAAACAACAAACCACAGCCTGGGCTGACTGCGCATCGTGCTGTGGCGAACGTGGTACCGGGACTCAAGGATTCGTCGGAGCTATAGGGGACAACGTGAGGAATCCTCATGGGGGTCCAGTGTTGTGCATGGTGACTGTCAACACTACCATGCTGGTTGTGACATTGGTTCTCTCTGAGTGCCCCTTCTGTAGAGTGACCCACAATTGCCCACTTATCCTTGAAACTAGAGATGGTGGAATTCACTAGACCCAGTATAATGCCTGCGCTCCACCAGCGTCTGCCTCAGCCCTGATTTTCACTCTTGTTTTGACTCCCCAAACCTGCCCTGCAGGTTTTCCATGCTGGTGTTTGGTTGTGCCCTTCCTGCTTCTGGCACCCTCCTCTGCCAATGGCTTCTCTTGGCGCCTCTTCCCCAGGAAGCCACCGGCCTGAGCCCCCACAGGATGTGACCCTGTGTCTTTCAGGTAAGGCTCTCAGCCCCTGGCACCCAGGATGCAGCCATAACTGTCCTGTGAGGGAGACTGTGGCCAGCAGGCCACTAGCCAGCCGCCTGCTGGGCCTTGCAATGGGCGGGCAGAGAGCTACCTGAGCCACGGCCTACTGAGGGCCGTGTACCTGTGCCTCTCAGAACCACCCACAGGTCCGTGCCTGCCTGTCCACCCACCACCTGGGGGGCCACAGTGGGCTTCGACCACAGGTACCAAACTCCCAATGCCCTTTGACCTCTTGACTCCAGGTGGACTCACTGGGACTCTGGCTTCCACTGGAGTCTGTGAGCTGGTCTGGTGCAGGGTGGCCCTCTTGGGCTGGGGTGGGACCCCTGTTGCCTGGGCCACCCAACCCTCTGCCCCCTCTCTGGCTGACTGTGCCAGCACAGGTTCCGCAGGGTCTGACAGGGCAGCCAGCCGTTACTCCTGAGGCCCCACCTGCCTCGGGCCTCTGTTGGAATCCTGAGATCAGCCAACAATCCGCAGGAATCTCAGGCTCCAGTGCCCAGCAGGGGAGCATGGACAAGCCAAGTGCAGGCCCGGTACACCAGGGCGGGGAATACGAGCTCAAAGGCCCAGACTCCTGTGGGGAACAGTGAACAAGAAGCTCCAGTTAAATCTAACTTACTCCTCAGTGCTCTGCTCTCGGGAGCCAGGGGCTGGTTTTGCTCCAATAAACCTACACTGGGCTGAGCAGATATCTCCCTCTCTCCCACCTGAGCCAAGGGGACTGGGCAGGGGCCTCCCATGTTTGTCTTGAGGCCACAGCCAGCCGGCCATCTGTCTGTCCCCAGCCTCTGGGGTCCTCGGAGCAAACACAGGCCTTTGGAGGGGTTACAGCCTGATCCCACATGGGACCACCCCCCCGGTTCTCCTCTCATGGTCCCCTCCTAGCCCCGAACAGGAGAACCCTCACAGCCTCAGAAGCTGTAACAACCTCTTTACCCATCAGGGCGGCCTCTGCAGGCACTCACCCTCTTCCTTGAGGGTCCGAGTGGGTCACCACCTGCCTGGGGCCTCTTCAAGCCCCACTTACCGCAGCCTCTCTCCAGACCCCCTCCCACCCCAGGCAGGGTCTCACTAGCCCCCAGCCCCAGCCTTCTCCCCAGACCCTCATCTGGGAGACTGACCCCTTTCTGGGTCCCAGGGACTCCTCCAGCCCTTCCTGACCCCCACCATATCTGGAGATGATGCTTGCCATGTAGGATTTTATCTTAGAAATTAATAGAGATACTCAGGTTTGTCACGCATAAATTCATTTAGTTTATCGTGAGGTAGTCATGGCAAGGCAGGAAAATAGACCTCACAATATTCATTTAGAACCAGAGAATCAGAATTAACAATTACAATGTTGGTTCAATGGTTAGAGTCCCATTCCTTAGACTTTAAGCTTTTGCCTTTTACAAGTGGTCTCAGGAGGTAGGCTTGACCACGTGTGCTGCAATGAATTACTTAATATGGCCCTTCTAGCCATGATCTTTGTGACTCACACACAATGTTTGAGTGGGACTATGCAAATAAGGTATATGGAACCTGTGATGATTGGGGTTATGTGTCAACTTGGGTAGGCCATGACTCCCCGTATTGTATGGTTTTCTTCCATTTTATGTGTTGTAAATCCTAACCTGTATGTGCTAATGAGGCAGGATCGGGATGGGGTATATCTTGAGTCACAGCCTTGCTGGAGGACATGACTCAAGTCACACCCTTACTCACGTTATCCCCTTTCCTGGGGTGTGGCCTGCATCCAAGGTATATACATGGGTGCCCTGGCAGCACCCACTCTCTCTTTGCATCTGGATCCTGTGTTGAGTTCGTGATCATCTAATGTCTGGTTCTTGGGACTTGAGCCAGTGGCCTGCCATCTGACCTGCTGATTCTGGGATTCCCTGGCCTCCACAGCCCCATGGGCCTGTGGCCTATCATCTGACCTGATATGCCAGCTTCTGCAGCCTTGTGAGCCAGCAGCCTGTGGTCTGACCTTCCAGTTTGGGTTCATCAGGCTCTGTAGCCACATGGGTCAGGAGAAGCCTGTGCCTGACCCATGGAATTGGGACTTGACAGCCTCCAGAACCACATGAGCCATTTCCTTGATATGGCTTGCAAGTTCTATGAGACATTGCAGCGAATTACGGAACCCAAAGACGGGAAGGAGAGTACTGAGGGGAGAGGGAGTAGTTGATGTTAGAGATGATGGAGTGGTACAGCAGTTTGCATAAGTTGGACATTTGGGACATCTTTAACCTCTGCCTTATAGGAACCAGCTTTGTGCTGATATTTATAAAAGAAATTATTCATTTACCATAGCTCAGATCCGGCAGAGATTCCTCCTAGCGAGGGTCCAAGGTCGGAGGTGGCAAACAAAATCTCCGTCCAGAGTCTCAGTCTTCGGAAAGAGTCAGACTTTAGAAGGAGGTTTCATCTCTGCCTTGGGTTTATATGTGATTTCCTCATCTTGGCCTCACATGATGAGGGCCAGTGTGACATCAAAGACAAGTATGTTCTGTCTTCTCTCCAGGGTTAGAGATTAGCTGAATTTCACATCTTCTCTTCAAGGTTAGAGATAAGGGAGGTTGTTTAGATTTATGTCTCAAGGCTAGTTTACAAAGGTAAACTATGTTACATTTTCTTTTATTACAGTATGCAGGGGCAAGATCAACTTAAAGGTTGTTTGCCACATTCTTCACGTACTTCATTTCTATTTTTCTATGGTTAATTCAGAAATTGCCTACTTCTAAATCACATTATGAGTAACTTATGTATCTGTGGCTTAAAATCATTACAGAAGTGACGCTGTTGTGGTGTGTTGTCAAGTCGTTTCTGACTCATAGCAACCCTATAGGGCAGAGTAGAACTGCCCCATAGGGTTTCTTAGGCTGTAATCTTTATGGGAGCAAATTGCCAGGTCTTTTCTCCCACCGAGCCGTTGGTGGGTTCAAACTACTGACCTTTTGGTTAGCAGCCAAGCGCTTAACCATTGCACCACCAGGACTCCTTGAAGTGACATTAGACCCGTATATGATTTAAGAGCCACTACAGAATCGTATGTGATTTGAGACCATTAAAAAAACATACATAACAGTGCTGCCGCTCCCCACCCCTGCCCACCTCTCCCCATCTCCCTCCCCCCGTCCACTTAGATCCTACTGCCTTGAGCAGTGCCACACCCCTCCCACCATGGCCACACTGCAGCCAGGTGATCCTACCCTTGCACTGACTTGTTCAGGGGTCACCCAAAGTACATCCCTACCCAGCCCCGTGTCCTAGAGCCTACTGCACCCCCACCCCCACCCCTGACATGCCCTGGGGTCCCTCCTCCCATGGGGCTCTGTCATGGATCGAATTGTGTCCCCAAAAAATGTGTGTCAACTTGGCTAGTCCATGATTTCCAGTACTGGGTGATCGGCCACCATTTTGTCATACGATGTGATTTTTCTATGTGTTGTAAATCCTACCTCTATGATGTTAATATTGAATATACCATGGACTGCCAAAAGAACAAACAAATCTGTCTTGGAAGAAGTATAACCAGAATGCTCCTTAGAGGCAAGGATGGCAAGACTACATCTCACATACTTTGGACGTATTATCAGGAGGGATCAGTCCCTGGAAAAGACATCATGCTTGGTAAAGTAGAGGGTCAGCAAAAAAGAGGAAGATCCTCAACCAGATGGATTGACAACTGCAACAATTGGTGGCAGCAACAATGGGCTCAAGGATAACAACGATTGTGAGGATGGCAAAGGACCAGGCAGTGTTTTGTTCTGTTGTACATGGGGTTGCTATGAGTCCGAACGGACTCCATGGCACCTAACAACAACAAGAATGACGTTAATGAGGTGGGATTATTGGCAGTTATGTTAATGAGGCAGGACTCAATCTACAAGATTAGATTGTGTTTTAAGTCAGTCACTTTTTAGATATAAAAGAGAAGTGAGCAGAAAGACATGGGGACTGCATACCACCAAGAAACAAGAGCCAGGAGAACAGCACATCCTTTGGACCCAAGGTCCCTGCGCTGAGAAGCTCCTAGACCAGGGGAAGATTGATGACAACGACCTTCCTCCAGAGCCAACAGAGAAAGCCTTCCCCTGGAGCTGACACCCTGAATTTGGACTTGTAGCCTACTAGACTGTGAGAGAATAAATTTCTCTTTGTTAAAGCCATCCACTTGTGGTAGTTCTGTTATAGCAGCACTAGGTGACTAAGGCAGGCTCTCACCCCTTTATCCCCAGGATCTGGAACCATCCTCCCATGGGGATAGTATAAGGACCTGGCACAGGCCTTTCCATCCCCTGCCTTTGGGGCCTGCCCATCACCCCAGACTTGAGGCCCTGGGGGGAAGGGGCTAAAGGGGGATTCCTCAGGACTCCCTGGCCTGGGTGAGGATGGGTGTTCCTCCCTCGGGACCCAGTGCTCTGTCGTGAGACCCTGTGGAGGACCGAGCACCCCCAGATCACCCCACCTGTCTCCTGAGCCCCTGTGAGCCAGGCATGTCCTACATGCTGGGGACAGAGCCAGCACCACACCGAGACACTCCCAACCACCCCCTGCA